CAAATTTTTGAGAATGTAATTAGGAAAACAGAATTCCGGTGGAATGTTTTTAATATATTATTTATTATGTGGACTTGTAACAGCAATCGTTTTCAACGTACAATCTTTCCAGCTAATATTTTCGTTAATTAAATCAAAACTTCAGCATTAGCCCTTTGCACTCGAGAGGTGACACTCAGTTACATGGTTTGATGTAGCAGAACCATAAAGTTTCATATTTAATATTAAGCTGTACTTAATGTGATTATATTTGAAATACTAAAACAATATAGCTTCGCTCTTTTATTTATGTGTGATTTCTCGATAAATTAATTTTCAAAAATATTATCTATACCTCATTAGAAAATATAGAATATTTCTAGTGAAAAACATTCAAGTGCAGAGGCTTGAAGGTCATTGGAAAGTCACGATATAGTAGGTCATTGAATTTGTTGTAATAACGGCTATAAAATTACGTTATCCGAAATATGTCATTTAAGAAAGTCAAGATCACCTTGAAATTTTATTGAAAATGTTATTTTTGTTAATTTTTGATTTCAAATTATAACTAATTGAAGATTAAATAACTTTTCAAAACGTTTTTTTGTACAATAACTAGAAATGCCAGAGAAAAATCATTGTCACCGATAAATAGTATACCCTGTATACAGAAGGACACAAATATAGATTATTGTACATAAAAACGTATACACATCGACGTATAGTACTTTTTTGTAGTTCGATTGGAATTGTTTGATTGTCGCGTGGAACTAGTCGTTCGCTTTTCCCCTAGGCTCGCGTCGTGAGATTGAAAATCGAAAGAACAAAAATTGCGCGTGTTGATAGATCGATTTGTGTTAGGGTAACACCAGTGTAATATGAATTATGAAATATTTAATAAATCAAATATATAAATACACAGATCAAATTAATAGAACAGAATAATATACGACACAACCGTAAATCTATAATGTACAAAAACAACAATAAAATACGATAACACTGTACATGGATTATATTAATTATCACTCGTCCAACAATTTGATTGTTCGTTTTGTTTTCGCGGTAGAAAGTGATATTTAAAAGTGAAAAATTGTTTTGGAATCGCTCGAAAGATTGTTTCATCTAATAAAAAAATTAGTTTCGAAAACTGATTGAGCTTTGTCAAAGGTGCTTCCTATGAATTGTAGAGTTAGGTTACGCGGCTCGAGAGATACCTAACTTTATATGAAAACCGATACATATACGTGTTAAATACTCCTCGCCGAGCATACCGCCTCTAGAACCGTATGCAGATTTTGTCGAAACATGAATATGAGCTATACGAAGAATAACAGCTGCATCATGGATCGGGACAGTGATTTACATCGACACTGTACCAATCAGTTTGTTAATAATCGAAAATCTGTTCAGGTTTCTCGTTTTTGTTTTCGCTCCATAAATATTTATTATAAATATTTTATAATATTAATCCTTTACATTCGATTTATTTTCAACGTTATTGGGTGTAAACTTGTATTTATTTGTAGGGAGATTTAATTTTTATAATCTTCTAAAGTTTGGTACCTTTTAAAGTACCAGAAATAAAGTATAACAAATTTGTATTGTCATCTTCAGCACGACATACGAGTGTACGGGTTAAAGCAAAACTAAATTAACTATTTGATACTATTAGCTTCTGATAATCACTATTTGAAGTTCAATAAAATTATGAGCATTCCACTGCCTTCACTCATTTTTCATTTAACCAGTTAAGCATGTAATTATTTTTTGCTTTGCTTTGGTTTTTCGTTAAAATATACCCTAGGTACAGTCCAGTCTGCGTTTGGCAAGTACGCACTTCATATTCTTATTTTATTTTCCTCAAATCGAGACATTTTTTAAACTAAATTCCGCAATTAACAGGTTAAATTACATTTTCGAAATCATGAAGCTAATGTTCGAAGAAAAGAAAAAAATTTATTTTTAACTGTAAAATCATATTCCAGCATGAAAAGACTGAAGTTTCCAAACGTTCACTGACGTCATACTACATAAACAAATTTTTTGTCATCACCCTCTTCCTCTATTTTTATTCGTGGCGATAATTATTGCGATATACCGTGTGCACGCGTTGATATATCTCGTTATAAACTAAGAACGCCCCACCAAACGGAAGAGAAAAGTTTGTCGGTAACTCTGTGTGGGTATGGAGATGATACGACGAGAACGTAAAGATGGAACTTTCTAATTAGATGGTAATGTTCCGTCGGATATCCGAAAATACCTTCGGAGTCGGCGATTATGTACGCTAATACAACCCCGAAAGATTAGGGAAGCTTGGTAGTGAGAAGCGAGGGCTTCCTTGAGTTTTATAGCGGCTTTCGTGGCTCCTGCACGAAATTGCCCTCTTTGTGTTTACACAAGTTTCCTTCTGCGTCCGATTTCCGCAGATACTCACGTACTCCTTCCCGGGGATTTTTCCCGTTGTGGGGTTAAATAAACAACCGTCGACTGTCCTCGGTCGCCGCTGTTTATAGAGCAAATTAATGTCCCTTAAAAAGAGTCCCCTGCTTGTTCAAGGAAATCCGTTGATTGGAAATTGAATGCGTATCTTATATTGTGCAGCGTTTGGCACTATACCAAACGCAATTAAAAATCCCTATTCACATTACTGGTTTAGATTAAAGCGTTCCTTTTATGTTCGCTGTATATAAATTTCTATAAGGTCTTAAACTGTGTGTAAACTATATAATCTGAAATTACTTACCCATAGAAACGTTATAAAATGAATTTATTGCACGACGAATTCTTTACTCGAGTAAGTTACAGACTAATTTAGTTACCCTTTACACTACGTAGGCGTCTCTCAGTCGTCAACTGATTTGACATAACAAAATTATAAAGTTTGATATTTAATATTGAACTTCGTACAGTGTATCGATATGTGAAATATTGGAAGATAATAGTTTCGTTCCTCAATTTATGTGGGATGTCTCGTTAAAACAGTTTGAAAGAATGTCGTTGGTATCTGATTAGAAAATTTTAAGTATTTTCAATGAAAAATTTTTGGAATGCAAAGGATTAAAACTAAACACGTAAAGCGAGAAATATTGGTTAAAAACAATTGACTACCGCATTACGTAAAGACGATGTAACTGCGAAACGACGTAAAAACTAAAAACGTCAAAACTTTTGCATCAATCCAATATAAAATTTCATGCAATATGAAATTTACATTTGATCTTCGGTTATCCGACAGCAAGAGAAATGCAAGAAATGCGAGAAATGCAATCATCAAATAATATATTTTCTTATTATAAAAAGTATATCCGCGAAGTGAAGCTTCAGGTATATAAGTCTGAAGTCGTTGCAACTTCTTCATACCACTTAACCTTTTTACCACGGGCGATATACAAATATGTGTGCAGCTGAGAGGTGCCTTTATACGTCTACGGTCAGAGTTGTGATGTAGTTTTCATACATTGTGCAGTTTATTAATTTAAATTTTTATGTAGAAACTTTTGGTTCAGAAAGATCAAGACAAGTTTCACTGTGTTAAATATTTTATTTATCTTTGCATTGCCTGATTATTTGTGAATATTCTGGCACTCCAGGGAATTTATTTATTCATAATATTTACTTGTGTAATATAATACGTTTGTTACGAAGAAGATAGGACGAGAACATTTTCTGGCCCAATTAATGTATTTATAGCTTTTGATTCAACATTTTTAAATAAAAGTATTAAAATTTAATTGACAAAATATTTCAATATTTCTTTTAATTATATTTTAACAACTATAATGATACCATGTTTCATTAACTGATATAACCGAGAAAAGTGAAATTCTGTACGAAGAAATAAATTGAAGAATAAGATTTTTTAATTTAAGGTATCGTTTCAAGAAAATTAAAGTTGCAAACTTATTGAAGAAATCTGTGTTTGGTTAATAATGAACAGAACACATACAATTTCGCTTCTTTTGAAAACGAGGTCTCAATTAAAAAAGAAATTGATTCTACAGTTTTTTGCTTATTTTCACATACAGAATAATTTTCTGTTGGTTGTACCGCTTTTATTTAGTCAAGAGTTAGTTAGGTGTATGCTTTTTCGACTCAACAAATATTTACCTTTAATTTTTTTTTCAAACCAAGTTCTACATTAAAAAAAATGTATTTTATCTTCACGATCGACATTTTTATGTAGAATCTCTGGTTAAATCGACAGTTGCAGAACATATCGTATATATTTTCAGTTGATGTTATTTTTCAGTGCTATACTATGTATACACATTTATGTACACTTTTGAAACGCATGTAACTGTAGTTCCCAAGAGCGAATCCTGTTTCGAGTCACTTTGGAAACTACTGCTTCTCCTTGGTAACAAGAGTCTCGCTTTGGAAACTACAGTGTCGCCTTGCAAACGACAGTTGGGAACTGCAATAAAAAATTGAGATTCGCTCAGTTTAATAACCAGTTTCCATTTGTACCGAACACGTTAATGCAGTCTTGGAAGAGTTTCCTGATATAAACATATGCAAAAGATAAGAATAAATACAAACGAAAGTAATGGAGTTAGTTATCAAAAATGTGAATTCATCGTGGTTTTCTTCTCTTTAATCCATTGAAATATTTAATAACTTTCATCCCAGCAAATCTACTCGCTAATAAAGTCTATTTAATTAGCGCCAATACCATTTTCATTAAAAATTTGGATCTTAGAATGTATTTCTTTTAATTAATCTTTAATATATTTAAGATTTAAATGTATAATATAATCTGGAAATTTACAAAATATAAGTGGATATAAGAAGAAGGTATTAAGTGTAATATCTTTTCTAATAATTTCTTAAAAATTTAATAACTTCAAATGGATTCTCATGAAATTAGAATTCGCAATTATTCATTTTATTTACGAGTGATTTTTTGCGTATTATAATATCTAAACAAGCGTTTTTATCGAGTGTTTTGCGTAATGTGCGTGGAGCACTGTGTCTAATCTAATCTAATCACATACTACGCCTTATTCTTTTCGCAGATCGTCAAAACATTCGAAAACCATGGCCTTCGATTCCACGGAGAATAAAATTTTACACGTCGTCTGAAGTCCCAGACAGCTTTCCGACAGAAGAGTGCATTAATTCCTCGAACTCATCGCTCTCTTTTAAAGTTCCTCGAGTGGTGAATAAAGAATAAGAAGAGAAGTCGAGGACGTGGAACGATAAGTAAAGAAACAGGAAAGAAAGCGGGAAGGAAGGATACCATCAATTACTTTCGTTCTGAAATAAGGTGAGTCTCCGCTATGTTTTATTAGGTTGGTGCTAAAATAACGCAGAATATTGAGCCAGAATATTGAGCAAACTTCGAAATGCATTTTATGTTTAAACTGGACCACATAGAAAGAAAGAGCATACAATGTGTTTAAAAATTATATATAATAAGGAATACGAATTAGACATTGATAAGATTGATGAGGAGGTGAACCTCGATGAACGATAAGTTGACCATGCGACGATACACAGACTTATAGACTAACGCAAGGGAACGCCATGGATGCGAGCGAAGTTTAAGGAAAACAATCGAAGAATACGCGGGAGCGAACGCGTTTTAGATGATGTTCGTTTGTTCATCGCGTGCTTATTGCCGCGGTTTATATGAACACCTCAACAGACATTTATTAATTTTATATTATTTACATATATATGAAGATCAAAGTAAAAAAATGGCGCATTATCTTTGCACTTGTTTAATAAATTTTATTTTAGTTTATTTCTTTCATTGAACCCAATACATTTGATTTTTTGATCATCTTTAATTTTTTTCGGCATATTATATGTTATACATGTAATACTTCATACTTTTTATGTAAATTGAAAATTTTAAGATTATAGCTAAGTATTCTAAGTATACTAAGCTAAGCTTTGTATTCTTTGAAGTTGAATTTTTTCAAGTAACTGAGAATTTCTAATAAAAATGTAGTAATTTTATTATTAAAAGTGAAAGTTAAAATATTTAAATATCAATGTGGAAAATTTATATGGTAAATTCAAAATGAAAGATATGTTCTAGCACAATCTGCATTCTTCATGTGATGCAAAAAGCTTTTAATTATTAAAATAAGTAAATAAAGTTGATTACTGAAAAGTTAAACATTAGAAAAAATTAATCATCTCTACTTTCTGTTAGAAACATGACTGATTATGGATGGAAGTTCTAAGAACTATTTTTATAAAAATCAGATTACGAGAAAAATTTGTTACTCTTATCTTTTATCAACTAAAAAGTTCCATACGGTAAAAATAAAATAGAAATATTAACACGTTGACTGCAGTGGTCACAAATGATCGAAGCTTCTAAGTTGCTTAGAAACAATTATAATAAAAAGATTGATGTCGGATAAAAATATTCACTAACGTAAGTAATTAAATAATATTGTAACATAAGGATTGTGATATCAAATCATTAATAATGATTTCTAATATATATTATTTCTTATACCAAACCATTAACAATTATTTCTAATACCAATTTAATATTAATAATCATTATCTTTGTTATGAAAGAATAAGTAGCATACATATAAAACGCTTCAAATTCTCTTAGTGGTAAACGTGTTAAAGTTTGGTAACGTAAAAGTTTTCTTATGTTTTACAAAGTTTCAAATGCTATAAACGCACACAGATCTACATTCTCCCGATCACTCTGTGTAACATGAAGCTTGTCTGTTTCGGTACGTTACCTCTTTTTGTTAATTTCTACTGTCATATCCATCTCCGAAGTAAGTAGAAGCCACTTATAAGAATGCCTCCTGTATACTCCTACAAATTCCACGAAATCCTCTCTTTTTGTTGCTCGGACAAGACGGTTCGCTGTCAAGGTGCGTTCACTCAGTGCTCTGTTGAAGCATCTTCGTGATTACTTACGTGTCACGCACGCATGTTTAACTTGTTAACCGGGAAAGATGAGTTAACTCTTCGCTTATAGTTAACTATATATTGCAACAATTCTTCGTTATTTCCTATACATACCTAAATATTCCTCAATTTAATTTCATATTCATATGTACGTGAATTGTGCTCTGAATTAAATTGTATTTAGATATACGTATTATAAAATAAGTAGTTGGAAGTTTGAATGAATTTATTAATTTAAAAATAATTCAAAAACATATTAAATGCATATTTAGAATCAGTAGCTTCAACAAAAATAAAATAGTCGAATAAAGTTTCATTATATACACGAAGATGGAGTGGCTAACAAAAGTATTCGTTTAACAAGAGAAATCTGATAAAAGCAGTTTCAATTTTAATTTTCTTTCGATAAAAATTGAATAATATTTATAGTAAGTCAATATTTAAACTTACAGTTTATATTCCGTAACAATTAATTAACAAATTCGAATAGAAACTAATAATATATAATATTTATTGTGTCCAGAAGTATTCATACTGTCATTCCTGTTAAAAACATACTCGACATTGGTACTTTCTTTCGAAATATCATAGATATTTATGTAGGTTTTCGCGTAATCATAGTATTATCAATTTCCACTTATATTTACCTAATAACAGGTAATCACCAACGAATTATTAAATTAATTAACATGAATTACCTATTCAACGGTTATAACTATGATCCTTAATTATCTCATTGCACGAATACTTTTTTTCCCTTGACTACAATTGAATTCCGGATAAGCTGTTTTCATTTATTAGACGTCAATTTTAATTCAATCTCCATTAGGGGACATTAATGTTACCTGCGAAGTGTACTGCCGTTAATTACGCCTACGCGGTGAGTCATGGTCGAAGAATCAGCCGGTTAACAGGTTAAGGTCCGCGAGGTTTAAGGTCGCGTACACAAGAGAACCGCTTGAAATAGTAACAGCGAGCGCCGGGAACGATCTCGTCTCCTCGCGTTTCCAGCGTCGACAACTATTGACTCCATTTGTCTCCCCCATTTTCCCATGTGTCTTACTTTATGCTAACGTTTCGCGCGTGGCGCACAGACAACGACACCACGGCCGCAGCTAGTTGCATCGACCAAAGTGTTTTAATTGCACGGTCTGAAGATTGCCTAAACAAATTTGTTACGCTGAAAACCCTGCCAGTGAAACCATTTCAGTGAGCTGAAAGACTGACTATACGAATATAACTATGTTTCAATGCGATCGTCAACCTTAAAAGGGAATTTAAATAAGCTGTTTTTTTTTAAAGTAATGTAAGTCTATTTTTCATACATTGAGATATTTCGGGATTTGCGTTTGAACTCACTTAAAAATATTGGCGAATGTTAATCAATTCGGGGAATGTTTATAAAGCCGTATATTTGTTACATTTTATTGTGTAATAATAATGAATAAAATTGTTAAAGAAAGTAAACGATTTTTTAGCTACAAATGGACTTACTTCATTTTCGAAGAAAACATTTTTGCGATAACATTTTATAATTTCTTTTGTTTCATTTATGGGTACATTGTATGTTTTTGATTGTGTGATTGTAAATATAAAAAGAGGATATATATGTCCCACTGAAATTACCATTAACTCATTTTTTTCTAAGAATGGATTTATACTACTTTAAAATAAAACAGTTCAAATCTTGGTGATATGCATGAAGCGATAGTTAATTTAAGTTCCAAGTTTAAGTCGAGTTCTAGATTTCCCTTACATAGAAGTGGAAGAATACTGGCATACCTGAATTTCAACGAGAATTGATCGTATCATATTTTGCTATCTGACCACAGAACTAATACACTAGCATCACAGATAATATTACATGGAAATAAAATTATCCGGATTCCATCTTACACGGATAAAACATATGTGAAAAGTATATCTATTACACAACGAAGATAGGGATTTTAAACGTTTGATATCAAGATTTTATTATCTGTATGTTTTCGAGATAGAGAAGCTTCTGTGAAATGTTGTTGGACTAATATTACAAGTATTAATATTAATAATAAATAGTAAATAATGTTATTAATAACATTAGTAATTAATAGTGAATACTTTTATTAATAACATTAATAATTAATACTGAATACTTTTATTAATAATATTAATAATTAATAGCAAACGGTATTATTAGTAACACATTAATATTGGCATTTAATTAATTCAAGAAGTTTTTACAAATCTTTATTTTCTCGAGAATTTAGAATTAGGTGTTAGACCACTATTATTCTAAACTACTGGCATATGAAACGAAAGTATCAAGGAACGCTTTAATCAAGATCAACGATTATGTAACGATGTTTTTGGCTTCAAATATCAATTCGAGAGTCCAAATAAAGTATGATACTTCGATTGTATATCTGCTCAAACCCAAACGTTTTTATTGCGTTTGCAAACGGAAGTTACCCCACCCATTATAATTAGTTTACCTTATAACAATGCGGAGCAGGAACCTAACTTTTCAACTATTTGATAACATTCAAATTTATAAATTTTTTTCAAACGTAATTATTATCCAACACATAATATCGATGTATTCTTAAACAATCTAAATATTATAGCGTCATACATTTTTTATGATTTCCTAAAAACAATAATATCTCATTATATTATAATTTATAAATACTCGCATAGTATTTAAATACAATTGACACTCGTATATAACTCAATTATGAAATTGTTACGAAAATTAAATAACTATAATCACACAGTATGCAAATCATTTATATTTGACAAAATAAATAAACAAGTTGCAATGAATTAGATATAAAGGATAGCAAAAGTAATTAGTATTAACAAAAAAATATCTTATCACTTCACATTTGAAGTAATTCTGTTATCAGTTCTCATATCGACTGAAACACAATCAAATACAGTTGAAAGATGACTTGATGTCTAGCAGGACGGCTCACGGGCAAGAGGTGTCTTTCTACTTTACAGTTTTATAGTTTCGATTAATTACGTATAACCGTATTCACGAATAGTAAATTAGTAATCGAAAATCGTAGGAATTAAGAAATAAACCCAACAGAAAATTAGGTGAGAAAAAATAAAGACTGATCGATCAGACGAATTCTTCAGCCTAGCGACTAAGTAATCTCCTAGCAGTACCGTCTGTTGCACCAGAGTTGGCACTCCGAACAGTATAGAGGCAAGAGGGTTACTCGCTATGTGCTTTGTTTATACTTTTGATTGGTCACGTGTCACCGTACTGATGAATAGCAAATTACTATTGAAAATGAAATGAGAAAAGATGAAAACTGACCAATGAGACGCGCATTTTAGATACGTGCCAACTTTCGTGCAACAAGCGGTACTATTGAGAGATTA